TGCAGGCAACAAAGGATAAGGAAGCTCTTTTATGGAGCAAAGGGTGAGTGTGGGAGGGACAAAAGGTCCAAGGGAGTAAAAGGGAATTCTAATTACATGCCTCGTCATTGGTTGCATTGTGACAATTTCTCATTCGCTGGGTTGTTGCCAGGGCGGGAAGAAGTCTTCCTCTTCCTGAGGTAGGAAGGGACTAGCTACAGGCCTGCAGACTTGCAAAGTCTGTCCTCCTGCCTGCTCTGCAATTGAGGAGTGGTGGGCACGAGAGCTCCCCCAGTGGTCTCTGAACTCCATTCAAAAGAGATGTTCCTTTAATTAAATATCACATAATATATGCATGTGCTTACATTCCCATAGACCAGGACTCTTTCTGAGAGTGAGACTCAACAATATCATCGGCAGGCCTGAAGGACCATCATATCTAGAAATCAGACACAGTGAGATGCAGACCCCAGCTGGACTATCGGGGCTTCGGACCCTGGTGACATGTGTGCCCTGGACCAGCAGGTGGCGCTGTGGGACTGCCTTGTACCAAAAAAGCAGCTCTTTAGTGAGAAGCATTCAAAAAGTTGGGGCTGGAGGGCTGGGCCCTGTGCTCCCTGATGGGATTCAGCAGCTGTGTCCTCTCTGGTCTGGCAGAGTGTCCCGAGGGGACCTGTGTTTGGCCTCAGCAGGTGCTTCCTCCCAGGGCTGGCCGCAGGGCTGAAGCCAACATCCATCCTTCTCAATGTGTGATGTGAACTGAGTTCCAGCACCAGGCTTAGGGAAAGTGAGAGGCAGGGACTCACTGGCTGGAGCGTATTTGCATATAGAGACCCACATGTGGCAGAGGCTGGAGGAGAAAAGGAGGCCTGGGAGTCCAGCCGACTGGGGAACTTGGGTCTGTGTCACCATGGCCTGGACTCCTGTCTTCCTGGGGATGCTCTTTTACTGCACAGGTAGGGACAAGGCCTCGGGGAACAGCCTGCATCACCCCTCTGCTTTAGAGTCTAGAGAAAATTTACTTTGAACCTATCCAATATCCTGTGAATGTGTGTGTTTGCAGGTTCCCTGTCCCAGCCTGTGATAACCCAGCCGCCCTCCCTCTCTGCATCTCTGGGAACGACAGACAGACTCACCTGCATCTGAGCAGGGACATCATGTTGGCAGCTTGAACATCTACTGGATCCAGCAGCAGCCATGGAGCCCTCCCCGGGATCGGCTGTACTACTCCTCAGACTCCGATAAGCCCCAGGGCTCCAGGGTCCCCAGCTGCTTCTCTGGCTCCAAAGACGCCTCGGCCGATGCAGGGCTTCTGCGCATCTCCGGGCTGCAGGCTGAGACCGAGGCGGACTATCACTGGGCTGCAGCTCAGGGCGCTGGGAGCAGGTATCGCTCCTCACAGCGTCTCAGATATGGAGGAAGTGGGTCTAAAACCTCTGGACCCACGGATCTTGTTTCTGAGCCTCTTTTCAGTAAGATACTTACCTGGAGAGACATAGCAGGGTGGTCTCTTCTGCACGACGATCTATCCTTCAACAGGGAAAGAGGAAGAGTCATGTAATGCTCAGAAAGTGACATAAAATGGGGGCATCCGAGGAAGACACAGACACATGAGATATCCCAGCCCAAGCGCACACCCCCACTCAATCTGGAGAAGATGGACAGGAATGAATTCTGTGTCTACAGCTGAACGTACTGCCCAGCGAACATTCCTCCATAATCCGTTCTATCATCTTATTCCATAAAGTGTGACCTTGTGTCATGGCTGATGTATCCACAGCTAATACATTGACAATGACCCTGGTCAGAGACACAGTCTGCTCTCTCTGTACGAGCTACATGAGAACTTGGACCAGATCCTACAGACTCTCCCTGACAACAGCCCCCACACTCTCCTCCTCTTCTCTTGGCTCTCGCGTTCCTCAGGCTTCAGTCTCTCCCTCTGGCTCTTCAGTCTGAGCTCTGTCTCCACATCAGGATTTCAGAGAAAACTGGAAATGACCTTCCTGTAGTTTCCAGTCTCCAGTGTCCATGTCTAGGCAGGAGAATGACCAGAAAATATAGGAGCATGCAACCCCCCACATTCTCCTTCCTGTTCTCTGACCCAGGCTCCATTTTTCTGTTCTCAACACTCTCAGTCAGTCTCTTTATTTACTTTAGAGTTTTCTTTATTTATTTGAATGAGAGGGCACAGCAGGGAGAGGCAGAGGGAGAGAGAGAGTCTTAAGCAGACTCTGCACTCAGTGTGGAACTCTATGCGGGGCTAGAGCTCAGGACCCTGAGATCATGACCTGAGCTGAAGGCAGAGGTTTAAGTTCCTGAGACACCCGGGTGCCCCTCAGGACCCTGAGATTAGGAGCAGAGCCAAATCAATAGTCAGACACTCAATCCACATTGCCCCCCACGCCTCCCCCAGTCATTCTCTTTAATATGAAAATAAAGTTCTTACATTTCCTGAGAAGGATGTATTTATCTACCTTTAGGTATTTGCACATGAGTCTATTGATTTTTATCCCCTTCAGAATTAACTGATGCCATGGGGAGTCTTAGAGGACTCCAGAGACAAAGGATGGCCTGCATATTTTAAGGTATGTCATTATTTTTCTTATGCTCCAATGCCCTGGAGAGGATTCACCAAGAACCGGTTTTCTATGATATTTAAAGCCTAGGGCTGTAGTGTTTATGCACACATGCACAAAACCATCAGGAATATCTTGCTCTCACTCCCTGGTAGACCCCTGGGGACATGGGGGACTGTGGTTCTGGCTGGGATGTCAGGGCAAGAAGGAGGGGGCTGCATGCTCCCGCCCCACCCTGTGCTTCCAGACACCTGAAAACCACACAGTTGTAGGTCTTGTGTCTGCAGAGATTAAAAATTGACAGATTTCTTGTCACTCAACAGGACCTGGACTCCTGATTCAGTGAATGGTGAACAGATTTGCTCTCACATGAGCCCTCCTGGTCTAAATAAGTCCTTTTCTAGTAAAAATCTGTGAGATCCTTATCTCTAAATGCAGGGTCAGGATGCAGGAAGTATATAAACAGAATCCCCATGGAGAAACATCCCTCAGGGTATTTCAAAGACAGAAAAGGGACAGGGCTCAGGTAGCCTCAGTTTTGGACACACACACACACACACACACACCCCTCTCCTCCCTCTGAGTGAATAGTGTGCCTGGGACTCTGTGGATTCCAGGCTTCTCTGTCCTTCCAGAAGTTCGAGTCAACCTGTGCTCACCCCGCCATCCTCAGGGTCACAATTTCCAGAAGGCAGAATGCTCCTCCATAGGAAAACTGGAGACATCTAGTGTAACTGGGGTCCTGTGCCCAGCGCAGCCAGAATGGGCTCTGAACATCTGCTCTCCTGGGATGAGATTGAAGCTCAGGAATCCCAGAGGGGAGTTCCTGTCCCCATGGGCAGCTCAGCCCCCGACCATCTGTGGGATCCAGTCAGTGGCTGAGGCTGATCAGTATGTTGATTCTGGGACCCCAGCCTCAGAACTCAAAACCCTTGTGGACAAGTGACTCATGTTCCCTGTGTTCTCAGGGTTGGGCTGTCACTCTTTAGTCACTCCCCAGTGACACTTCCAGCCAGGCTGCACTCTGACGGAAAGTCCTCTGTCCCAAATCAGGGCCATAGGGCATGTGACCCTAGGGACACACTCCCCCTTATCTCCACTTCTCCCCTCCTCAGCTTTGGGATATTTGACAGAAACTTCTGTGTCCAGTAGGCTTTGGGTAGTAAAATCCATTCCTGTAGTCATTGGGCACTGAATGAATAACGCTTCCATCTTGAACGTGCTGGACACAGTTGCAAGGACTAGAGCTGTGTCCAACCCAGAGAGTGGTCTGACCCCAAATCCTTTGTCCTAGAAGTTCTGTCTGTGTTTGGCAATTTTGTCAGCAGGATGGTTCTGAGTTCATAGGAACAGGCCCCTCAAGGGGTTCCAATGGGCACCACGTTGACCTTTCCTACGTGGGAGACCAGACACATGGTACAAATAAG